TCCCAGGGAAGTTGTCCCTGGATCATGGGACCCTGGGAGTGGTGGGCCGCACAGGCTCCTGGGGGGGGGGGGGGGGGGGGGGGGGGGAGCTGTGCAGCATGCAGGATCTTAGCTCGAGCCCCAACCAGGGATCAAACCCATGATCCCTGCAGGGGAACTGCGGAGTCTTAACCACTGGACCGCCAGGGAAGTCCCCGTTTTTCTTTTTTAAACTGTAGAGACACACTTCACGTATAACATCAGAGTCTAACACAGAGGTAGCAGAACACACCACCATCAGAGAGACCTAAGTAAAAATGGTGTATCTTAACCTTTGGAGATTGGTGTTTACCACTCTTTGTCTCCACCCTCCATTCAACTTCCCTGCTCTCTACTCTCAGATGCCGTGCCAACGTGAGACTTCAAAGGTGGAACCAGAAGCATGGATCAGTACTTTCTAGACCAAATCACAAGGCTTGAAGCAAGGTGAAGGATTAAAGTAAGGGGGCAGCTTCAGCTGTGCCCTCTGCACTGAGGCTGATGCCTGCAACTGCCCTTCCCTTCAAGTGGGCAGGGATGTGGGGGGGTCAAAGGCCCCAAGGAACAGGAGTTGAGACTGTTCCTGTCTGTTAACCCCCAATTCATCCACTGCAGTCCTGGCTGAGCCTTGAATCTAGGACTCCCTCACTGTCAGGTCTCCAGGCAAGTTTCAACCTCTGTATTTAGGTTTGTGGACCACGAGGCAGGGGAGGGGATCCCAGCCCGACCACCTTCCAGAGGAGGAGGCTTTGATTAACAGGCTCACACACACAGATGCACACATAGCAGAAGGCTTGCCCATAAAGGCTCACGCTGAGAGGAAAAAGCAGCTTTTACTTTGATATAGCACACTTCCTCTGAAAAGTTTAGATTAATAAGCATGGACGAGTCAGAAACTCACCTGTAGGAGCCTGTAGCCACACGAATGCCATCAATCAGTGTGAACTTTTCATGAACCTTCCCAACAATTTTAGTTCCTGACCTTGCATAGTAAATATTTCCTGTAATCGTCCGAACTGTCATCAGCTGTTGGCGGGGGAAGTGGGAGAAGAAGAAATGAATGATCCAGTGAGCACATGATAAAAGAAGCCTTAGTTTACAGTTTCCAAACAGACAAGCTTACTAGCAGGTCAGTGGTTCACGGTCACCATTCGGTAACAGCACCCACAAGCACGCAAGGCAGATGATTCTCAGGAGTCAAGTAACGCTACTTAACACTTAGTTCATCTTCTTGCATGCTTTTTTATGCATGCATACTTATTTTTGAGACCTTCGGTTCATGTGGACACGTGCTCTAGAAGATTCACTTTTTGGATAGAATAGAATCCAAGAAATGACTTTTTGGATAGAATAGAATCCAAGAAATGACTCTGACACAAAATGTGGGGGGATAAAATCATCAAAGAAAACATGCCAGTGATAGATAACATTTTAACAAAGGTTTAAAGAAGCTAAGCTGATGTTTCTCCTCCTCTTTAGTTTAATAGCATTACTAATAAATAATAGCCCAGGACCCCCCTGGTGGTGCAGTGGTTAAGAATCCGCCTGTCAATGCAGGGTACACGGGTTCGGTCCCTGGTCCAGGAAGACCCCACATGCTGTGGAGCAACTTAGCCCGTATGCCACAACTACTGAGCCCCCGTGCCACAACTACTGAAGCCCGCACACCTAGAGCTGGTGCTCTGCAACAAGAGAAGCCACCACGGTGAGAAGCCCACACACCGCAACAAAGAGTAGCCCTCGCTTTCTACAGCTAGAGAAAGCCCATGCGCAGCAACAAAGACCCAATGTGGCCAAAAATAAATAAATAAATAAATTTATTTTTTTAAAGTAATGTTTAGACACTATAGCAAGACATAACAACATCCAAAGAAGTGAAAACCTACATCTACACAAAAACCTGTACACAAATATTCACAGTAACTTTATTCATAACAGTAAAAAACTGGAAACTACCCTGATGTCCTTCAACGGGTGAATGGTTAAACAAACTATGGTTCAACCATACCATAAGATACAGTTCAGCAATGAAAAGGAACAATCTATTGATACACACAACAATTTGGACAGATCTCAAGGGCGTGAAAAAAAGCCAGCCTCAAAAGGTCACACACTGTATAATTCCATTTACATAACATTCTCTAAATGACAAAACTACAGAGATGGGGAACAAATTAGTGGTTGCCAGGGGTGAAAGATGCAGGGGAGGGCACGGAGAGGGGAGTGGATGTGACTATAAAGATGTAGCATGAGGGAGATCTTTGTGGTGATTGAATAGCTCTGTATTCTGCTGGCAGTGGTGGGTACACACATGTATACATGTGATAAAATGGCACGGAACAGTAGACACGGTACCCATGTCAATTTCCAGGTTCTGATATTGTGCTGTAAGTTACATAAGGTATAACTATTGGGGGAAACTGGGTGAAGGATACATGGAAACCTCTATGTACTATCTTTGCAACTTCTGTACTTCAAAATAAAAACAAAAGACAAAACAAAAAAATTAGGGCATAGCGTAACATGGTTTCTGCGATATTCTTCCCAAAATGCGTAATATGAATTTAACCATGGGGAAACATCAGATAAACCCAGATTCTACAGAAAACTGGCTAGTATTCTTCAAAAGCATCAAGACTCTAAAAGACAAAGAAAGAGAGGAACAGCTCCAGATGAGAGGAAGCTAAGGAGAAATGACAACTAAATGCAAGATATGGTCCCAGATTGGATCCTGGATAAGAAAACCAGCATTCCTGGAATGATGAGTGAAATTTATCATGTCTACAGAGTAGATAAGAATACTATATCAAGTTTATTTCCTGATTTTGAAATTTGTACTGAGGTTTGTAAGATGTAAACATTTAGAAAATTTGGGCAAAGAGCATCCAGGGATGCCTTATATTATTTTTCTAACTCCTTTGTAAATCAAATTATTTCAAAATGCAAATTAAAACAAACAGACAAAAAACCTAGAAACTTCCATAGAGGTGCACATGGAGCTGGCAGGGGAGGGCTTCCCGGGTGATCCCTGAGCAGAGCTTCAAAGGGTCAACATATAATAACAAGCATAAAGAATATCACTGTGGGCAGATTTCAGTGTGGTTTTGTGCATCTTTCCCTTTGGAACTTACCTGAATGCTATGTAGGCCTCTGTGATTGTGCTCAAAGCACTTTTTTTTGTTTTAATTTTTAAAAATTTTTATTTTACATCGGAGTATAGTTGATTTACAGTCAAAGCACTTTTGAGTGCCTGCACACAAACGTGTGACCAAGCTCCTGCAGGCAGGACACCCAACATTCTGGACCAGCCGCAGCACCAGGGCAGAAGTCACCCCCACTTCTTCTGGCGAGGGGCAGATTCACCAGCACACACAGGCCCTGGTGAGAGAAGCCACCATGGCAAAGTGGTGCTTCCCAAAGAAGTTAAGATGTGATGAACATGGGTGACGCCAAAAAGACAGATCTCCTTTTGACCCTTCCTAGAGGATCCAGACACCCACGAAGGCAGCAACCAACTCAGCAGACAACTGAGTCGGCAAATACTCCTAGATTTCTGCTGAGTGGATGAATCAGAGCCAGTCACTCGATCAAAGTCGTGGCTGGGCTATTCTGTGATCTTCCTGCTGCCCACACACAGCCTCAATTACAGCAAGAGCACCTTGAAATTAAACATCGACACCTTCAATTTCTTCACCAGGCTCTGCGGCAGAGCAGGCGTGGACTAAACATCTGGTTAGATGACGATGCGCTTTCCAGGCCTGACTTGCATTTCCCTTGGGTCCACCTGACACATTTTTAAATTGACTGTCAGGTCACAGGGCTGACTGTTTCATTCCGTCCCCAAGCTCCAAGCCTTACCTCCATCATGGATTTGCTTTGAAGCACTAGTGACAAGTTAGTAGCTACCCAATTAAACCCAATCCGGTTTACTCTTGAGGGAGAACAACCAACAAGAGCTCTCAAGAGAAGTTAAACAGTCAAAATTGTGTAAACCAAATTGCTTGATAATAACAAGGTGGTAAGTTCATGTCCCCTACGCGGTAGCCTATAGAACCAAAGTCCAACCTCTTCATTCACTTTGCTCATCGCGTTGTGTCCAGTACCTGGAACAATGAGTAGCTCAGAGTAGGTGCTCACATAAGTGAGAAACTAAGTTGATGAATTAAGGTGATGAACCAAGTTGATGAATTAAGTTCCGAAGCTCTTAAGTTGCTTAATTTTTAAGAAGTGAATGGTGTAATAAATGACTATTTTTCTTGCCTCTTTCTACTTAAGAGAACAAGCTTGCTAAGTTGCATAACCTTACATTTAAATACTTAAGTTCAAATTACTTTCACGCTCAGAGCAAAGGACATAAAAAGTCTAATTTTATAATAATGAGAAGCGAGAGGCAGCATGTGACAGTGATTTAAGAACACTGGGGCTGCAGGCAGGCCGACAGATGGGGAAACTCCATTCCACTACTTTCTAGTTGTAGACACTGGGCTCTTGGTGTCACCACGTCCCAGTATGAAACACAGGTATAACGCCACTCACCTGATGGGGCTGCTGTGAGGATTTAAGTTGCGTAACATTGTCAAGAGCCTAGGACAGTGCCAAGGACACAGCAGGACTCCGTAAACGGTGGTCCTTAACACTTAAAATTGGAGCCTACCAGTGCCGCAGTCAAAAGCAGCAGCTTCCAAGGCAGCATCTTGCCATCAACAGACAAGCTCCCCATTAAGAGGCATCATGATGAGAGGGAGAGGCCAAGGTCTGAACCTGACTCTGTCTTTCTTTCCTGTGAGGCTTCAGGCAAATGAGTTTTCTCACGGCCTCAGGTCCCTCCCTTACAACGGGGAGACCACCAGCAACGGGGAGATCACAGACGCTCAGTCATTATCTGCTGATTGTGGTGAAACTAGAAACAGTGTAACACAAACCTTTTCCTCTTCAGGATGAACTTTCATATCCATGCACAGATCCAAAAACTGAGAGAGCAGGGCCTGGTCCAGAAGGATGTAGACAGCAACTCCCTGTTTCCGACAGATTTCCTGCAGGTCTCGGAAGATGTCGACGTCCGTGAAAACATCCATAACCACTGCAATCACCTAGGGCGCGGCGCAGAGAGAAGAGCCAGCGGTCAACCCACAAGGACACCACCTTACAGCTCGTTGTCCGGACTCTGGACCCCGCCTGAGAGCTGGGAAAGGATCCTGTCCTATAATACCCTTCCTTCCTTCCCCTTCTGCGGTATCAGTTCTCCTCTCACCATGGACTCTTGTCCGTCTCCAAAGACGCTCAGGCCACTGTATGCGACAAATCTGGACTTGACCCAGCCACTCTCTTCCACACTGCAAACTTCTCAAAACTGTAGATTCATCCACTACTTTGACCTCCTATGAACTTGTTCCATTCAACTCTCTTCCTTTACTAAAACCCCCGTCTCACAAGCTCAGCTCAGACCAGCAAGATATCTAGGTTCTGCGGCTAACCCACCATCATTTCAGACACGTGGCTTGTTGCCTACGTCTGTAAAACAAGTATGTAAAAACTTAGTCTCTCTGAGGCCCCCCTTCTGGGTATACCAGTCTCCAAGTCTGATTTTATTGTCTGATTTTGGATCATAATATGGTTTTCTATTATAATCTAGAAAGGGCCACCTCATCCACCACCAACTCACGGCTTGAAACTGACTGAGCCAGGCAAGTCGATTCTCCCACCTCCTGCCTCTGTCGCTGCACATCACCTCTTCATGACGTCTGCTCCCTCCACCTGTCAGGATCTAACCAAATGGCTTCCAGAGTGCCAGCCCCTCCTCTGTAAAAGGTGGTCTCTGAAGTTCTCTGGTATCTGTCCGCAGCGCAAGCCCGCAACAAGAGTACGGAAATACGTCCTAAGGATGCTGCCCTGCAGCTTGGACCAGTCCTTTCTGCTCCCCAACGACCCGGCTCCATTTGTGCCTCCTAATCAATTTTCCCCATTCAGCACAGACTACAGTTAAGGGCCACCTCAGCCACGTGGCCTTGGGTAGATTACAGCTGCTTCGAAAGTCTGTTTGCTTCACTGCAAAATAGATTTGTCGTGAGCATTAAATGACTATGCCACATCAAGTGCCCAGTACAAGAGATCCCTCTGGTATCTGTTCACTGATTCGCTTGACCAGTCCAGAGCTTAAGCCGTCCAGACAGTTCAGCGCAGGGAAACATCTCCCAGCTCCTCCTGGCTTTCCTGCTTCAAGAGAGGCCACTCCAGCAGCAAAGCCTCTATCACACCCTCTGCAGGGTTGAAAGCATGGCCGTCAGCTAATTCCTGGCAGGTCTGCGGGGGAACAAAAACATGCGGGTCTCGTACGAGCCCCTGCATCGGGTCAGAGCCAGGACTGTCACCTTAGGAAACCGCTCCCCAAAGCCAAGGTTTGGAGCTCTTCTGCAGGCTGGAGCTGCAATGTACCGCCCTCCTCGTAACCTCATCAGTAAAAACATGAGTCTCTTCCAATCACATTAACTCCTTTCCTGAACGGTAAGGTGACTGACTTACAGGTCTGTGAGAGGAGAGGCCCCTCAACGGGCCTGATTCATCTCTGTGGGCCCAGAGGACTCAGGCCAGTACCTGAGAGTCATTACCCCTTAAGTATTTGGGTCCAAGAAGTGCAGAGGGGCTTCCCTGGTGGCGCAGTGGTTAAGAATCCGCCTGCCAGTGCAGGGGACACGGGTTCGAGCCCTGGTCCGGGAAGATCCCACATGCCGTGGAGCACCTGAGCCCATGCGCCACAACTATGGAGCCTGCGCTCCACAACTACTGAGCCCACACGCCACAACTACTGAGGTCCGCGCACCTAGAGCCCGTGCTCCACAAGAGAAGCCACCGCAATGAGAAGCCCATGCACTGCAACGAAGAGTAGCCCCTGCTCGCCGCAACTAGAGAAATCCCGCGTGCAGCAACGAAGACCCAACGCAGCCCCCCAAAATAAATAAATAAGTTTATTCTTTTAAAAAGAAGTGCAGAGACAAAGAGATGATTTTACTGTCCATCTCTAACACCTCAGAGTCTTGTCCACCAGGAGGAGGGACCCAGAAATGCCAGCTGCCAGGAAGTTATTGCTGTGAGGAAGTCTGGGAAAGACAATTTCTCTCTCTGGTTCCCTTTCTCTAATGTTGCCAAAGCCCCAGCTGTGAGCTATTCTTGGCAAAGGGTCTAGCTAAACCCCACTGGAGACAATGATTTAGAAAATAAAAAGTGTTCCTTCTAAATTGGTGGCATCTTCAAAAGTTTATATCCTCCAATGCATTTTTATACATCCTATTTGGAGATGTATCTATCCCACTAATTCAGGCCAAACAACTTACTGGTTAAAAGGCAGAAAGGCGTGGGCACAGCTCCCAGCTCTGTGGCTTACTGCTGTGTGACTCTGGGAAAGTTGCTTAATCTCTCTGAGTCTCAGTTTCCTCCTCTGGAAGATACAGATAATATCATCTAGCATCCACATCACAGGGCTGTTGTGAGGATTAAATGAGACAAAGCATGGAAAGGGCTTCGCTTAGGCATGAAATAGGTGTTCAAATGCAGCCAGCACCTCAGAGTCTACTGTCTACTGCTGAAACC